ATCATCATCATCATCATCATCATCATCATCATCATCATCATCATCATAGAATCCCTACAGTGTGGAAACAGGCCCTTCGGCCTAACAAGTCCACACCAAACCTCAGAGCATCCCACCCAGGCCCATCCCCCTGTAAGCCATCTAATCTACACATCCCTGAACATTATGGGCAATTTAGCATGGCCAATCCACCTAACCTGCACATCTTTGGACTGCGGGAGGAAACCAGACTACATGTGACAACAAAAAAAATCAATCAATTGTTTTTGCTCCTGCTAACCGAGCTATAAGTTTCCTACTTGCACTTGACTTGTGATCTCTCCTGGAGTAGTGCTGGCCCAACAGGGATTCGAATCTGTCATTTCAGCTGGATTTCCATCTGAAAAATTGCTTGGAAAACTGCTCACAAAGTTCATCGCAGTAAATATTGGGACCATTAGATGATATATTGCTGCAATGGATTGGTGTAGATTGTCCAGCAACTTCTGTCAATCCATAACTTACGGTGAATCTCTTCCTTGTAACAAGTAGCCGAACAGTTCTCATGTTGATAATAGTGATCTCCAAATTCTGCTATCCATCAACTTGAGGTCATCCAAAGATTTGCTGCCTGTATCGTATCTTGTAGCAAATCCCATTTTACTTAACTCTGGTGCTTGCTGACCTATATTTGCTTCTGGTCAAGTAATGCCTTAATTTTAAAATGTTCGCACTTGTTTTCAATTCCATTCCTAGCTTCGCTGCTCTGGATATCTGTAATGTCCTCCAGTGCCACAACCCTCCAAAACATCCTTGCTCATCCACTTTTGGCCTCATGGGCATCTCCAAATTTAGCCATTCCCATGCCTCCAGCTGCATGAGCATTAAGCTCCGGAATTCTGTCCCTAACTCTCTGTGTCTCTGTCCTCCTTTAAGACAGTCCTTAGAACCTGCCTAGTTTTTGGCCATCTCATCTCATAGCTCCTCATGTGCCATGGTGTCAAAATTTGATTTATAATGCTTTTGTGAAGGAGCTTGAGATATCTTATTATGTTAAAGGCACTGTATAAATATAAATTCTTCATAAGTCATTAAATATTGAGACTTCAAACATCAATCAGGGAGACCATCAGTTTATCCTGTTTGTTTGTTATATTATGCAACTTCTAAGGGCTAATTAAAACCTATTATGTTTTTGTTTTGTTTAATCTAAGGTGTCTGCAGGAAGACTGTCACTTTCAGCACGTACTGGTTGAAGGAACTGCTGAGCCCATCCCTTATTATAGACAATTCTGGAGTGAGGATGCTGAAGAGTTGGCTCTGAAGAGCAATGAGCTTGCAAAATCGAAGGATGCAGACGCTTCCCAGGTTCAGGAATCGGACAATATCCAACCCATAGAAACCAAAAAAGAGCAGATCTCATCTATACCAGTGGCTTCTGATGCTGGTGGGGATCAGGAGCCAGACAATACTCAAACAACAGATGCTGACATAGAATTGACATTGACTGTGACAAAGCACAGAGACTCTGTTCAGGATCAGGATGCGGACAACAGTCAACGAAATGAAGGTGAAGGAGAGGAGGCCTCGACTGTAGCTGACAGCTCAGATGATGGTCTGAGCCAGGAACTGGAAAACACCCAACAGACAGAAACCGAAGATGAGTTGACCTCGAATATACCACGGAGTTCCGATGGCGTTCAGGGCCAGGAACTCGATGACGCCCAACCAACGGAAGCCGAAGAGGATGTGAACTCGATGACATCAGCAGTTCCTGATGCAAATCAGAGCTTGGAGCAGGCTGGTAATGAAACGGAGGAAGACTGGCTGACTGAGGAAATGCAAGCGTCATTGAGTGCCATTCGCATGGAAGAGCAGCTCGCGCGGAGGCGAAATCTGAAAAGGTAAATAACATTGTAAAGGAGAAACAATGTTTTATATAATAGGTATTGGTAAGCCTTTTCCTATTTCTGCAACCTTCTTCAACCTTATGATCTTTTTGATGCTGCCAGACCTGCTGAATTTCTTCAGCACTTTCTCTGTTCGATAGCCTTGCATGCTGTGGTTCAGGGCATTAGCACTGCTGCTTTTCATTTAGAAGCTCTATGTGTTCAAGATCTACTCCAGAGACTTGAACATAAAAATCTATGTGGACCTATGATGCAGTACTAACAAGTCAGAGGACCGTTTGCCCTCAAAGATTTTGTGGCACTGTTTTGAAGACAGGCTATTCATAGAGTCCTGTTCAATATTTATCTCAATTATCATGCTTAAAGCAAACATTATCTGGTTATTATCACGTCACTGTTCTTTGGAGCTTGCTATGTCTATAATAGCTGCTACATTTCCTACATATTACAGCGATAATATTTCAAAATTATTTCATTGGCTGTTATGCTCTTTGGGACTGAGATTTTGAAAGGTGCTTTATAACTTTTTGCTTTCTTCTTTCATCTCTCCAAAATCTCCTCCAGTTCTGGCCTTGTTTGGACGTTTTGATGAGAGCTGTGCCTTGTCCCGACTGGGCTGTCTGCTAAAATTTCCTTCCTAAACCTCTTCACTTTCGGTCTCTCTTTTCTCTTTTAAGACTCTTTTTAAGCTTACCACTTTGACCAAACTGCTGGCCATCCTAAGATCTCCTCATATAGTTAGAATCATAGAATTTTACAGTTCAGAAGTAGGCCATTTGACCCATCGTGTCTATAATGACTTCCAAAAGAGCTACCCAGTTTGTCACATCCTCTAGCCCTATCTCCATAGCCCTCTAACTTCATCACTTTTAAATATATATCCTGCTCTCTCTTAAAACCACCACCTTAAAATCTACCACCACCACTTTCCTAGGCAGTGCATTCCAAAACCTAACAACTCTGAGTAAAAACTTTTTCCTCATTTCATTCCTAGCTCTGTTGCTGACAATTTTGAAATTGTGACACCTTTAGTTATTGACCTCCAACTAGTGGAAACAGAACATCCTTCTTTACCCTGTCAAAATTGTTCATAATTTTGAACACCTCAATAAAGTCACTTCTTAATCTTCGCTGTTCCAAGGAGAATAAGCCCAAACTCTGGAATCTTTCCTTACATCTAAAATCTCTCATGCCTGGTATCATTCTCCATTGAACTCTCTCCAGGACTTTAATACTCTTCCTTAAGTAAGGTGCCCGGAACTGAACACAATATTTCAAATGTGTCAAATCTTGTGTAGTAAACTCCTGTGAGGCACCTCAATATTTTACAATTTCAAAGGTGTCACATAAACACAAGTTCTTGTGGAGGACTGGATGGTCAGTACAAACATGCTAAATGCTTACTTAAAATCAATATCCAGGATATACAGGCATTTACTGTTTGGATGGTGTGCAGACTGAGGTTTAACCTGGGAGATCAGTAATGTAAAATTCTGTTTCAAATATTGGCAGACTCTTGTATTTCTGATTGACACAAATTTATATATTCATTGTAATTATTTTAATTGCAGCTTTTAGAATAATCTTACATAACCAGTTGGGGTGTTTGATAACCTCTTATCCCTCCCAATCACCCTTACCTGTATCCAGAATCCCGGAGTTCTGTGACTTCTTGGAATCAATTCTGGAGAACACGCTGCAGAACATATTGATAGAAGCCAGTCGTGGGGAGGTCGTTCTGACAGCTCGACCTAGGGTAATCAGTCTGCCTCCTGTAACATCCAGGTAAAACTCAGGGGTCAGGGAGTGAAATTATCATTTGGCAATTGCTTGACACTGGTCACTTGTGCAATTATACGCGTGCTACATGTTTGCCATGTTTCACCGACACTCTGTTCCTCTGATGGATCGTTTGGTAAATACTTTAGAAAATGTGGTATCCTTGGGTGGTGACAGTCGGGGATTTTGGATGTGGGGAGTGCTGGTGCAGAAGATTTTGTGAGTATTCAAAGAAAGAAATTGAAAAGGAGTGATCTGACAGAGGTTCCTTTATTAAAGTTTAATGGGGTTGAGTGGTGTAAACCTAGAGCAGATGTCAATTTTGAAGAGTCCTTAACCAGCGATGATGCGTTTTGGTGAACACCAAGAATGAAATAAGGATTTCAGGAGAAACATCTCATGGGGAATGATTAGAATATAGAATTTGTCTCATACAGAGTAACTTAAGCTAGACTAGCACAGATGGATGTCTGTGGGGAGGGCACTTGATTGGAGTATAAATACTGGCATGGGCTGGTTAAGCTTTTTAATTGTAATATATATTGACTATAATACGACATAACCCAAGCATATTATGTATTCTTTCATTTGGTCGTGGGAGGTGAGCATTTCTGGAAAAATCAGCATTTATTGCACATCTTAATTGCCTCGGAAATGGTGATTGTGAGGTGTTGTCTTCAAACATGCTGATCATGCAGCCACTGTGCTCTTTGGGAGAGAGTTCCAGGGTCTTAGCCCAGTGACAGCAGGATGGTGTGTTTCTTGAAGGGGAACTGCAGGTGTTGCATGTAAGAAAATCTGTTTTCTGAATTTGCCAAATTGCCAAGGGTTGTGTTTATGGAATGTTATAATATTGAAATATTTAATTAGTAATAGGCACTTTATTATTTTGTTAAGTTTTTCTTTCTTGTGTTGTATTTTAACTATCGTGTTTGAATAAATTGTGTCTTGCTTAACATCGAGTAGTCTGACCGGTTGAATTGCACCTGGAACACACCGCTCTACATTTGTCTATAAAATCAGAAAAAGTTATGGTCTAGGCTACCTACTTAAAACATTTTGAGGGTGTTTGGTCTGGTCCATAACAAATTGGGACCTCTTGTCAAAATCAAAATCTCTAATTCCAGTTTGGGATAGGATTATTGGATTCAAAGGCAGCGAGTGGTAAGTGTTAGTGTCTTTTGTTTTGGGTGTTGAATTCAGTTGGTTTAAACAGGGTGACCCTTATTTAGTAATGGCTCTTTCAATCACTACGAGTTTTCTGGGGTGAAAGAAGTCACTTTGGAAGTTTTACAGAAAGTGAGCAAGGCGAAGCTTTGGAATTGGCAGACAAGCTGGAGTTGGGGTTGCCTTTGTCCATGCAAAAAAGGGAGGTAATTGCAGCAATAGCTTAACATTTACAATTGCCAGAAATGTCACTGGAATTTTTGGAAATGGCTAAAATTCATTTACAAATGAAGCAGCTTGAATTAGAGGCAAAAGAAAAAGAAAGGATAGCCCTGGCAGAAGAAAACAATAAGGAAAGAATAGCCCTAGCAGAAGAAAAGCAGAAAGGGAGAGAGTTTGAACTTCAGCAGTTCGTGACTAGAGAGGAATGTCAATTTGAAAGGGCTGCGGTGAATGTAAAAGGTAGGCTTAGTGAGAAGGATAGTGATGACAAACAAACCCATTGTAACCAAAGGCCTGGTGGGGATCTGTTAATTATGTCCCAACATTGCCTAAATTCGATGAGAAGGATACCGAAGCCTTTTTCATTTAATTTGAGAAAGTGGCTAAACAAATGAAATGGCTGGTGACCACACAGGAATTGTTGATCCAGGCAAAGTTGGTAGGTAGAGCTAGTGAGTTATTCGCAGCACTATCAGAGAAGGTATCTGGGGGGTGAGGAGGTAAAGAAAGCCAACTTAAGAGCATACGAGCTAGTGCCAGAAGCTTACAGACAAAGTTTCAGAAATCTAAGGAGGTAAAACGTACATTGAGTTTGAAAGGGTCAAACAAAATATTTTTGATAGGTGATAAGGGCATTGAAAGTAGATCAAACATATAAATGCTCTTAAAGAGACAATTATTTTGGAGGAGTTCAAAAATTCACTTCCTGAAATGGTGAGAACTTACGTGGAAGAGCGGAGAGTTAGAATTGCAAGATTAGCAGCAGAAATGGCAGATGATTATTGGTTGATTTATAAATCAAAGTTTGGCTTCCGACATCAATTGTAGAAGTGCTACTCAAATGTTTTACTAGATATGGACTACCCACAGAGATACAATCAGATCAAGGTGAAATTCTACATTGAAATTATTCAAGTAAGTTATGGATAGCTTGGGAATAAAACAATTCAAATCCAGGGAGCATTACAATGTTGGCATCAATTTTAAAGACCATTTTGAGGGCTTATATTCAAGGGATTGGGATAAAGGAAACCCATTTGTACTTTTTGCAATTAGGGATGTACCATATGGATCTATCAAATTCAGTCCATTTGAATGAGTTTTTGGGCATGAGGTGAGAGGACCACTGAAATTAATTAAGGAGAAAATGGTGAGTCGGAGTTTAGAGACCACACGTTTGGACTATGTGTCAAATTTTAGGCAAAGATTAAATAAAGTGGGTGAATTGGCTCAACAGCATTTTAAAGTAGCACAGCATATGATGAAACAGGAAGCAAACAAGAAATCAAAAATTTGCAGTTTTGCTAGTGGAGATAAATTTTTAGTGTTACTTCGAGTGCTCTGTGAACCTTTAAAAGCAATGTTTAGTGGGCTTTATCAAATCGAAAGGAAATTGAGTGAGATGAATTAATTGATAAGAATGCCAGACTGAAAGAAAGCTCACAGAGTGTGTCACGTGAATATGCTCAAAAGGTATTTTGATAGGGAAGGAAGGTGAAAGGGGAATGTGTTACTGGTTACAACACAGATTGAAGAACCAAGTTCAGACAATTTTGCATTGAACATTCCTCAAATTAAATTGGACAATGAGGAAGATCTCAAAAATTGTGATAAATTACTGAATTACCTCCCAGAGGAAAATCAAAATGACCTGAAAGAGTTATTACAATTACACAGGGAGACCTGTGAGAATAAGCTGGGAAGTACTAATCTAATTACACATGATGTAGATATAGGAAATGCTGTTCCAATGAAGCAACATCTTTATAGACTTAACGCGCTAAAGTTGTCACAAGTTCAAAAAGAGGTTGAAAGCAAGCTCAAAGACAACATAATTGAAGTGATTTGCAGCGACTGAAGCTCACCTATAGTCATGATGCCAAAAACCAGCTGGCACCCAACGATTATGTGTGGATTATTGCAAAGGAAATACAGTTACAAAGTCTGATTCATATCCTACTCCACGTTTGGAAGACTGTATTGAGAATTGGGGCAAGAAACTTATATTTTAAGTTGGACTTACTCAGAGGATACCTGCAGGTACCTTTACCTGAAAGAGCAAAAGGAATTTCGGTTTTTGTGACACCATATCAATTTAAAGTCATGCCATTTGGTATGCTGTGCCAGCCACAATTCAAAGACTAACCAATAAAGTCACTTCTGAATTACCAAATTGTGTGGTGTATATCAATGGAGGAGGCTAGTGGACAGTAAGGAGGTAGTAACTAAAGCCTGTAAGGAACTAGATAATGAAGTCAGTGTGACTAAGGGGAAGAGTAGGCAGAGAGCAGATGATGAACGCAAAGGGACAGGTGGTCTGAGGTGCATTTGTTTTAATGCGAGAAGTGTAGTAGGTAAGGTAGATGAACTTAGTGCTTGGATTAGTACCTGGGAGTATGATGTTATTGCTATTACTGAGACTTGGTTGAGGGAAGGGCAAGATTGGCAATTAAATATCCCAGGATATAGATGCTTCAGGCGGGATAGAGAGGGAGGTAAAAGGGGTGGAGGAGTTGCGTTACTGGTCAAAGAGGATATCACAGCTGTGCTGAAGGAGGGCACTATGGAGGACTCGAGCAGTGAGGCAATATGGCAGAGCTCAGAAATAGGAAGGATGCGGTAATGATGTTGGAGCTGTACTACAGGCCTCCCAACAGCGAGCATGAGATAGAGGCACAAATATGTAGACAGATTATGGAAAGATTTAGGAGCAACAGGGTGGTGATGATGGGAGATTTTAACTTTCCCAACATTGACTGGGATTCACTTAGTGTTAGGGGTTTAGATGGAGCACAATTTGTCAGGAGCATCCAGGAGGGTTTTCTAGGACATTATGTAAATAGTCCAACTCGGGAAGGGGCCATACTGGACCTGGTGTTGGGGAATGAGCCCGGCCAGGTGGTTGAAGTTTCAGTAGGGGATTACTTTGGGAATAGTGATCACAATTCCGTAAGTTTTAGAATACTGATAGACAAAGATGAGAGTGGTTCTAAAGGAAGAGTGCTGAATTGGGGGAAGGCCAACAATAGCAAAATTTGGCAGGAGCTGGGGAATGTGGATTGGGAGTAGCTGTTTGAGGGTAAATCCACATTTGATATGTGGGAGGCTTTTAAAGAGAGGTTGATTAGAGTGCAGGACAGACATGTCCCTGTGAAAATGAGGGATAGAAAGGGCAAGATTAGGGAACCATGGATGACAGGTGAAATTGTGAGACTAGCAAAGAGGAAAAAGGAAGCATACATAAGGTCTATGCAACTGAAAACAGACAAAGCTGAAACGAGGAATTAAGAGGGCTAAAAGGGGTCATGAAGTATCTTTAGCAAACAGTGTTAAGGAAAATCCCAAAGCCTTTTATTCATACATAAGGAGCAAGAGGGTAACTAGAGACAGGGTTGGCCCACTCAAGGACAAAGGAGGGAAGTTATGCGAGGAGTCAGAGAAAATGAGTGAGATTCTTAATGAGTACTTTGTGTCAGTATTCACTGAGGAGAGGAACATAACGGATGTTGAGGTTAGGGATAGATGTTTGATTATTCTAGGTCAAGTTGGCATAAGGAAGGGGGAAGTGTTGGATATTCTAAAAGGCATTAGGGTGGACAAGTCCCCAGGTCCAGATGGGATCTATCCCAGGTTACTGAGGGAAGCGAGGGAGGAAATAGCTGGGGCCTTAACAGATATCTTTGCAGCATCCTTAAGCACAGGTGAGGTCCCGGAAGACTGGAGAATTGCTAATGTTTCCCCTTGTTTAAGAAGGGTAGCAAGGATAATCCAGGTAATTATAGACCGGTGAGCCTGACGTCAGTGGTGGGGAAGCTGCTGGAGAAGACACTGAGGGAAAGGATCGATTTACATTTGGAAGAAAATGGGCTTATTAGTGATAGGCAGCATGGTTTTGTTCAGGGAAGGTCATGTCTTACTAACTTGATAGAATTCTTTAAGGAAGTGACAAAGTTGATAGATGAGGGAAGGGCTGTAGATGTCATATACATGGACTTCAGTAAGGCGTTTGATAAGGTTCCCCATGGTAGGCTGATGGAGAAAATGAAGTCGCATTGGGTCCAGGGTGTATTAGCTAGATGGATAGAGAATTGGCTGGGCAACAGGAGACAGAGAGTTGTAGTGGAAGGGAGTTTCTCAAAATGGAGAACTGTGACTAGTGGTGTTCCACAGGGATCTGTGTTGGGACCACTGTTGTTTGTGGTATATATAAATGATCTTGAGGAAGGTATAGATGGTCTGATTAGCAAGTTTGCAGATGACACTAAGATTGGTGGAGTAGCAGATAGTGAAGGGGATTGTTGGAGAATGCAGCAGAATATAGATAGATTGGAGAGTTGGGCGGAGAAATGGCAGATGGAGTTCAATCCAGGCAAATGCAAGGTGATGCATTTTGGAAGATCCAATTCAAGAGCGAACTATGTGGTAAATGGAAAAGCCCTGGGGAAAATTGATACACAGAGAGATCTGGCTGTTCAGGTCCATTGTACCCTGAAGGTGACATCGCAGGTGGATAGAGTGGTCAGGAAGGCATACGGCATGCTTTCATTCATCGGACGGGCTATTGAGTACAAGAGTTGGCAGGTCATGTTACAGTGTATAGGACTTTGGTTCAACCACATTTGGAATACTACGTACAGTTCTGGTCGCCACATTACCAAAAAGATGTGGATGCTTTGGAGAGGGTGCAGAGGAGGTTCACCAGGATGTTGCCTGGTATGGTGCTAGCTATGAAGAGAGGTTGAGTAGATTAGGATTATTTACATTAGAAAGACGGAGGTTGAGGGGGGACCTGATTGAGGTCTACAAAATCGTGAGAGGTATAGAGAGGGTGGATAGCAAGAAGCTTTTTCACAGAGTGGGGGACTCCATTACTAGGGGTCACGATTTCAAAGTGAGAGGGGAAAAGTTTAAGGGAGATATGTGTGGAAAGTTCTTTACGTAGAGGGTGGTGGGTGCCTGGAACGTGTTGCCAGTGGAGGTGGTAGAGGCGGGCACGACAGCGTCATTTAAGATGTGTCTAGACAGATACATGAATGGGCAGGGAGCAGAGGGATACAGATCCTTGGAAAATAGGCGACAGGTTTAGATAGAGGATCTGGATCGGCGCAGGCTTGGAGGGCCGAAGGGTCTGTTCCTGTGCTGTAATTTTCTATGTTCTTTGTTCTTTGATGACCTGGTGATTTTTAGTCACACATGGAAGGAACATTTGCAGCATCTGTCAGGATTGTTTGATCAACTTCTGGAGGCAGGCTTGGTGATAAACCTGGCTAAGGGTGAGTTTGCAAAAACCCAAGTCACATTCCTGGTCCATGTTATCGGATAGGGACAGATGGCCCCACAGAATGTGAAAACACAGATTATAGGGGAGTTTCCTATACCATTGAAGAGGGCATAACTATGATTCCTGGGATTGAGTTTTTTTTCTAACTTGTGTCAAAATTTTAGCTGTGTGGTTGTTCCACTGACTGACTTATTGAAGAAATGTAGAAATTTCAGTGGACGGAGGAGTGTCAGAAGGCATTTGACAGCCTGAAAGCTGTGTTAACCGCTGTCCCAGTGTTAGCCACACCTGATTGCACAAAGCCATACAAGCTGGCTATCGATGCAAGTGACGTGGGTGTCAGTGCTGTACTCTTGCAAGAAGACGACGAGAAGATAGAAAGTCCTATTGGGTATTTTTCCAGAAAATTGAATGATCGTCAACAGATATAATCCATGATTGAGAAGGAAACCTAGAGCCAGGTGTTGATGTTACAACATTTCAACATTTAAAATGACAGTAATTTGTCTGAGATAATTGTATATACTGATCATAACCCCTTAAAAGATTTTGGAGAAATTTAAGGGCAAAAATTCCAAACTATTTAGATGGTGCTTCTTATTGCGACCATTAAATTTGAAAATGATAGATGTGGCAGGACGAAAGAACGTAATTGCTGATGAGTTGTCACAACTTTGATGAAGAAAGATGGAGGTGTTTGGTGGCGGGAATAAACAGCCTGAAATAGACTGTAGTAGTGAATGTTGAATGTTTAAAGTCAGTGTAATATATATGTATTGTAGTGTACTGATAGAGTAAGACTAAGGGTTTTTTAAAAATGAAGCCATCTTTGAATGTTGACGGTTTTCTTTAAGGGGGTAGGTGTGATGTTGCTGTGGCTTTAAGAGGTATATTTTATCCTGGCTTCTTTTCAGAGAGAGATGAGAGGTACTGATTAGGCTGTGGTAAGGTAAACAGTTTGTGATTGGAATTTTTAAAGTTGGCACAATAGAAGCAGCCTGGATGAGAGTGACCAGCTCTCTCAGACCAGGATTTCTAGGTTTATTTTAGTTTTTAGATTCAGCAGAAACTGCTGGAGTCTTGAAAAAGTAGAAGCTATTTCCGCCTCTCTTGCTTACAGCTAAAAGCCAGGGTTTCTGTTCCTACTGTGGGTGTTGCATGTGCCAAAATCTGATTTCTGAATTTGCCTTTTTGCCAGGTGGTGTGTTTATGGGATGTTGTTATATTGGAACAGTTAATTAGTAATAGTTACTGTACCTATTATTCTGTTAAGATTTCCGGTAGAGTTAAGTTATTGTAAGTTCTTCTTTCTTTCATTGCAATTTACTGAAGTGTTTGAATAAATTGTGTTTTGCTTAATGTTGAATTGCACCTGGATCACAGAACTTTACATTTGCCTTTAAAATAAGAAAAGGTTAAGGTCCAGGCTGCCTTCTTAAAATACTTTGAGGGGATCTGGTCTAGTCTATGACAATGGTGAGTGCCTTGGAGGTAAACTGCGAGTGGTGGTGATTCGACTGTTCTGGATTCGCCCGATTGGGGAAACCCCATCAAATTTCCAAAGAATTTGTTTTCCCTTCAATCAGATCATCTCTCACTCATTTGAATTCCAGGGATTGTAAGCCTAGTTTATTCAGCCTGTCCTCATAAGTCTTTCCAGGTATTCCCCACCTTGAAGAAGTTCCGATCTTCTCCTCAGTGGGATTTCTGTTTTAATCTTCTGGCCTGCTCACCTTCATTGTTTTGTCTTTCCTGTCTCACGTTTGTCAATACTCGCTTTCACAGCCACATCTCCTTTTTGATTGTTTTCAGGTCTGCCGTACCCCACATGGATTCCAATTAGAGCTCCATGCTTCATGTTTCAAAATTACCCAGGATTACAGGTATCTCTGGGACATACAGCACTCCTCAGGCAGCTTTCTTGAGCTCCACTCTCAGTACCAAATGTGCCACATGCACACACTCTCACACCACTCAGTCTGTCCTGACCCCCATTTCCATTTCAATCTTAGTCATTCTTTGGTTTAAGAAGAAACTTTTTCTTTTCCTTTCAGATGTTAGCTCCAAAAACTCTTGGGTATCAATGCCCCTCTGGATTTCTTCTCTCCTCCTCTTCCTCCGTCTCCTGTCCCTCTCTGATGCTGAGCAATGTGTGCTCAGCAAAAAACTTGGTTTTATCCCTTGCCGCTCCCACCTCAATGTATTTTTGGCATGACCTGATGTTGAATTCTTCTTCCGTTATCTTCGTCTCCGTGCCCACTTCTCTGGATAGGAATCCTTTCCCTGCCACACAGAACCTTTCACCAGTCTCCAGTACGCCCCCTCCACCTGGTTCCCTCCCTGTGGTCTTTCATCTGCATTTGCTCACCTCATCGAGAACTGCTAACATGACATTGGCCACTTTAATTTCTCTGCTTCCCTCACCCACTCTAACCTTCTGAACTTGCTGTACTCCATTCTCTCAAGTCTAACCCTGACTTTGTTATCAGTCCTGCTGATAAGGGGGCATGCTGACCTCTCCCTTGCAGAAGGTGAATGTAACTCTTTGACGTCTCCTTCTACCTTCCCACACCACTGAGTTCCAAGATTTTATTTCCAGGACAGTCACTGACCTCATCTCCTCTGGAGATTTCTCCTCCACAGCCTTCTACCTCATAGTCCCCTAACCATGCCTGCTTCTACCAAAAATTGACAGTTCTGAAAAAGATCCATCATGAACTTGAGATGTTAACTTTGTTTCTTTTTCCACAGATGCTGCTGACCTGCTGACTTGCTCCAGTACTTTTTATTTTTATTTCAGATTTTCAGCAGTAAGTTGTTTATTATACATGTGGGCCAATCCCCTAAACCAATCCTAGTGAAATTCTGTTCATTCCATCTAATGCAAGTATCCTCCTTGGCTTAGCAACTGAATCTGCACAAGGTACTCCAGGTGTGACCTCACCAGTATCCTGTTCTTCAGCAATGACATCAGTGGTAGATCTGATCATCGATAAGGAATTAACTCTGAGTCAAAATAGGCTCCACGTCTCAGTCACATAACAAACTATATGAAGAAACATGTGATATTTTAAGACTAAAATTTAACAATAATCTTTAGCTTTGTCTGACTTTTAGAACTACTCTGGAGCCTTTTAGCATCCAAGATATTTCACCGAGTAAGGAAGAATTGGATCGCAGCATCCCCACGTATGTAATGATGCTTCACAACTTTTTTTTGTGGATGTTGCAAATGTGTGATTAGTGGAAGTGACAGTTTGTTGAATTATGAAAATTGTATTGAGGAGAAAACCATTTGTCCTATCATGCCTGTGCTGTGCTCTTAAATTGGATCTACTTGGATTAATCCTATGAGCCTCAGGAATTAACCATCTAATGCTGCTGTGTGTAACATTAGGTTTGGGGTTAGAAACAAACACATAAAATGCTGGAAAAACTCAACAGTTATGAGGAAGAGTCATACTGGACTTGAAACTCTTGTTTGACTCATTAATTCTGTTCCTCTCTCCATAGATGTGGCGAGACCTGCTGAGTTTTTCCAGCAATCTCCAAATATGTTTCAAATTTCCATCATCCACAGTATTTGACAGTAAGGGTTAGGTTTGGTTGTTGCATTGCAAGTTTGTAATTATGCCTGTTTTAACTTCTGCTTTGGTTACAGGAACGAGGCTCATGCTCCACACCCCTTCTTACTCTTGGGATGGTTTGTAGGTTACTAATGAGGATCAACCCTTTACTCTGATTCCCAAATCCTAACTCCACCTGTACATCCTCTGTTTGCAAACTTAACCCAAAATTCTACAGTTATTTGGATCTAAGATTTTTTAAAAAGTACTCAAAACTCCCTAAGCATAGTATTAAAAGATTAATCCCAACCAAATGTTGACCCTTGAAATCACAATTTGTGAATAGGAGGGAAATCCTGGCTATACGTCCCCAGTAAATATAAGAACAATGATGTCAATAGCTTAGATAACAAGGTGTAGAGCTGGATGAACACAGCAGGCCAAGCAGCATCATAGGAGCAGGAAGGCTGACGTTTCGGGCCTAGACCCTTCATCAGAAATGGGGGAGGG